CCCCCGCCGATACGTGGCACTTTACTTGTCAGTGGTAACCGAACGAACTGCCGCTTCTTCCGGGGCCAAATATTAGAGTCTGAATGCCACGAGGCGCAGAGAGCTCCTCGTGTTTTATTTCTTTATTGGTAAGTACTTACAGACTTTAATTTCCACACAGAAACGACCGGCAAGTCCCCGCACAAGAAGGGGACTCAAGGGGAGGCAAGGACCGCTCGCTTGCTCTTGGCTCTTGCCCATGACGAATAAGGAAAACGGAGCGAAATGTTCTATGACCTCATTGCTTCAAGGTTGTGTGTAAGCCGGTAACCATAGCAACCCGGGAATCCGGCGCTCTCATTGGCCGCTCATTCAGATTGTTTTGGAATGAACGTTGTTGTCTCTCGGATTATCAAACCTCGTGTGCTCGCTACTCGCTTGCCGCGGTTCGACTTTCTGGCCGCTCATGCATGCTAGCTCTGCCCTCGTATCTTCGGTGTGAAAGTTACCGACAATATAATTTCTTTTGACAGTTTTAAAATCTAAGATTCGCTCGTCCAGATTCAGATTATTGTCTCCGAAGTTTCAGTCATTTTTCCGTGCGCGACTGTCGAAGTGATCCTAATTTTCGAGGTGTTTATTTTTTTCCTGAAATGTTTGGCTGATAAGATCGTGAAATAATTCTGGTTTTCCTCAATCTGATTTTCCTCGTTTTTTGTTGTCTAACTGTGGTCAATGTGTCAATTTGCTCGCTTCTACGGAACGGTTCAGTATGCACAACTTCGATGACTTCTGCATGAAACATTTTTTCTTTGGAGTTTCAATAATGAAAGTTTCAATGCAACTTCTTAGCTCGATTTCAGTTTTTTAAACGTGTCAAGTTCATAGAAGACACTTATCATCGTCGCTATTTCGCCAACATCTTCAAATCCCGCTGAGAATTCATCTCTGCACACTCTTGCTCCAAATTTTCACCGAACAGTTGAATAGCCACTTGATTCAGAATTGGTCTCCTATCCTGGTCATTTGCCCCGATGGTGAATTCAGCAAATTTTGGAATGGTAAGTCAGCTCTTTTCTCAGATTACTTTGTAAATGTGGTATATGATCATCTCATCTCTTGGACTATGTCATGACCAGGTACAACCTGAATGGTGCAAGTATTGTGCGGTATGAGAGTCAATGGTTATCCGCAAGTTCCAAAACATTTATCGCGAATACCAAAAACCGTCTTCACCACTAATTTTTGTACTTATTATTGGCTTCGTGCTTGATTTCAGGATATCTCTAATCTAGTATCTATTATATTATTTTTAGCCAAGGCTAAAATTCATTCTCCAGAAAACATGAGTGTTCAAATATTAGTAACGAGGGAGAAATGAATCGTACCTATTTATTATTTTGTGACTGGAAGTTTGGAAAGGTTTGAGTCTTGATTTTCCTGCAGATCCAGGAAACTTCTAAGTGTACTTAGAAATGGTATTTGCTACTTAGATTTAAGTTCTGTATGGGCACAAAGATCCTCGTTAATGTTTTCATTGCGATAAAATTGAGCGTCAACCTCATTTAGGTACTAATTCACTTTTTGATGTCTGAATTGAGTTAATTTTATGTAGGCACAATCAATGATTCTTGAATATGTTTTTCCAAGCCTTGGGGGCTATTTCAAATTGGTGAAAAAAAGAAGTAGGTACACATCCTCAGAAACTTCATAAATTGGAAAAAGTGTATTTAGTTTGAGCATAGCATTCCAGGCAGAGTGCATGTTTCACAATTTTGAGCTTCATGGTAAGTTTAAGAGTGATAACTTATAGTTGATGATAGGTAGCAGCTAAAGCATCATTCACTATCGATTCCTGTTACTTGTATAGTTTGCGTGGCAAGATTTTCTGTGGAATGTATGATATCTTTTGAATGCGAAACACAAAGGAAGAGAATGCCAAAGCGTAATTGATGTGGAGTGTGGTGTTAGGGAAGAAACAAATCAAAGCAACACTTCTTTAGAATACTTTAAGGTTATCCTGAATTATCATAGAAATAGAGCACCAAAAGTGCAGAGCGAGGCTCAATGTTTTAGGGAGGTTAAAATGAGCTTATAGCAGGAAGTAGAAGGCATGAGGAGGTGCGCAAAAAATTAATATTTGTGAAGTCATAATTTTTAAATGGGAGCTTTAAGTAATTTATTCATTTATTCTTATAGGTTTTTTTAGAAATGAGTATTCTTACTCAAGGAAAACTCGTACCTATACTGCGGGAAACCTGTTATTGCAACGCAACTATTCCCAGTAGTGGCAACAATTTTCACGGAACTAACGAGTGACTCTGCTGAAACAGACTACTCAGTCTTAATCCTTGAAACATTGTATGGGTGAAGTTATGCCGTCACAAGAATATTTTTGGGTCCATTTAAAAATGCCTGAGCATTTTAATATGAGCATACCTACCTGAGTGTTGATTTCAATCATGAGATAGAAATTCTTAAATTTACCCTAAATATTTCAATAATATTTGGAAGGAGAGAACTAGAAAAGAAATGAAAAAAATAAATGAGGTTTGATAAGAAGTGCGAATGTATCAATCTTTGGCTTCAAATTGTGCTTAATCAAAGATTCGCAAAGCTGAATTGGACTGAGTCAGCAGAAAGGAACCAACCCACATTTTGGAAAAAAATTGAGTTATGAGTGGTTTTGAACTCAACCACTGCTCTACTATCTATAGCCAAAAATTCAAAGTTTTTGTTGGAGCAAATTTTACAGAAATTGAACTTGAAGTTTATCTTTTACATTGAGTCTTATGCAGGAGCCAAACTTTAAACCTCTTTTTCTCGGTTCGATCCTGATGTGGCTTGGTTCCTTTCTGTTTAACTCCGTCCAATTGGACTACATTTTGCAATTTGGAACTATAAATTCTAGGCCGGTTTTAAAACAACGTATGTGCCATTAGTTTCTCTATGCACAGAAGTGTTTTTCCAGAAGAGCCCGAATTTACAGTTCCAAATTGCAAAATGCAGTCCAATTAATCAATGAAAACGAAGGAGGCATTCCCGACTTAAGACTAAATACACTCTGAGGTCGAAAATTTGGAGGGTATGGATTCGATCGACATGAAATTATCGGAAAATGAAAACGTGATAATCGATCTAAAAATGAAAACGTGAATCGATCGACAAATTGTTAAAAAACCGGTGTCGATTCGATCGACTTGAATCGATCGAAAAATGAAAACGTGAATCGATCGACACCGATTCGATCGACAAAATGTTAAAAAACCGGTGTCGATTCGATCGACATGAATCGATCGACAGTTAATTTAAAAACATCCGTATCGATTTGATCGACATGAATGGATCGAAAAATGAAAACGTGAATCGATCGACAACCGTGAATCAATCGACAATTACTTAGGGGGAGGGGGGGGGAGTCCCCTACAGAAGACACCACTGTTCTGATACCTTGTGAAGACAACCTCAAATGCCCGACTTTAATTAAGGCGAATCTGAATCGATGACTGACTAAGTAATACCAAGGTATCAAGCAAATTTTTGCTTGGTAATTAATTTTCTCATCCTAAATTTTTGGCATAAAACAAATCCACAACGCTCAGAGGCATGTTTCAGATGTTCCATTCCAAGAAATCTGCTTTATGAACCCTAAAATAAAGCTGACAGTATACGAGGGGCAAAATTCTGCTTTCAATTACTCAAATCGAATACGGTTAAAACGCGGTCGCATGTATACAGGATGATCCGAAAGTCCTTCACCACCAGCATCATGCATCACCCCTGTAACTCTTGAACAAATTGAGATGTTGACTCGAAATGTTTTAAGTGCTTTTAGGTTTAAGTATGGCTTTTAGCGTTTAGGTAACCTTTCGGATCCCCCAACATTTTAGGGAACCACTCTAAAAAGGGGCAAAAACCTCGGGGGTTAAATAGCTGGTACGTGTTGCGTGACCTTTGGGTCACCATATGCATCCTCAGTTTTAATATTCTACAAACGATATGTTCGGGGAAATATCACCTGAAATGTGCTTTTAGGCTTAATGGCCTTTTTCTGCTGAAAGTTCAAAGTGGAAATAGTATTCAAGCATTATGTGCGTTCGAAATCCCGATGCTCGTTTACTCCCGCTACAGAGTCACCATAAGGTTTCCAGTGGCGCGGCGTGAATGATTGATTGTCGATATCTCTCCATTTAAAGCTACGATGAAGGATCGATTATAAAGGTGTTCGTTGCGAACACCCTGTTTATCGATCAATTTCCATTTGCTTAAATGCCAGATCAATCGATATATCGCAAAGCAAGAGTTAGCCATTCAGGTGGACCCATTCGCCGTGTCGATGAGCAGATACGTCGATTATGACTAATTCAGGACTCGTGGGGAACAGGTGGAAAAAAATTTCCCTTTTCAAAGGATTTTTTTCCTCCAAGTTTCCTCGAAGGGGGAGTGAAAACTTTCAAAGCTTTCGCACCCACCCGAAAATTATAAAAAATCCAACAAATGCTCGGGAACTTTCCAGGAATACGAGGACGTTTCACCTACGCAATTACCAAATTTTACGTGTATTGCCCGAGGTTTCGCGGAAATCGAGTTAATGGAGCCATCTCAGCCCTGGAACTCCGGTCGGTGGGTGATCCAATTTCGTGTAAATCGAAAATAGAAAATCTAGGATTTCTATTTGCGTAAATCTGATTATTTTTCACCCAAAATAGCTTTTCTAGGCAGTGTCTGGTGGCCGCGGAAAATTTTCGGTGCGTCATCTAAAAAGCTATTGTTACTCTGCCGGAGTAAAATTGCAACGGGACCACGAAGGTTTCTTTCTTCGGACGAAAACTCGCCAGTTCTAATTTTGAGAACTAGTGGCGATTTTATCGCACTGGTGCCATCGATGTAACCGGTTGAATACCGGTTGCGCGGGTCAAAGTCTCATTCCTCTCTGAAAATTTTGTTAGGTCAACTTCTCCTTCTTTCCAAACCTTATTTTCCAAAATGTCTTTAGATCGTGTTTAATTACCTATTACCTTGCTGAGTAAGTTGCTTTTTGATGGATGAATAAAAGTTTGTTCCCATCGCAGGTGCATGAGGAAAGAATGATAGAGTAGTCAAATCATTTTTTTAAAACTAATATTTGTCGTCAAATACGTAGGGTTGTGTTAAAAGTCTGTTTCATAATGCTGTGCTAACACCCTTTCCCCACATTCCCTCTGATGCAGGAACGCACAATGATAGCGCTAGCTGACATACATACACCTGCAGCGGTACGCAATTTATGATGCACATGGGTCGAAGTAAGACTTTTTTTAGGGCGGAGAACAGGAGGGCATACTTTATCAAGGGAAACCAAGGGAGTCAAGGAAAGTCACTCCACCAAGACAGGTTGGCGGAAGGGGGGGGGGGCTTGGAAAATTCAGATGTCACAGGAGAACGAATTACGAGCTATTCCTACCAAAAAATCGCGAATTTCCACGTAGAAAGATATCCACGCAGGCCAAATTTTCCGCAAAGCCATTCTTACAGAGTTTTCTCGAAAGTCAGAATCAAAGATCTCCATGGAAAACCCCCCCGAAGAGTCTTTCAAAAATAAGTGGCGGACGGTTTGGTCAAACTTTGAGATAAAAGAGGGTATTATTGGATTTTAACCCAGAAATTTAGTGCCCTGAACGCGTCACGAAATTGCCTTTTTAAAATGCAGTTGTATGCGCATCATGGCACTATAATAAACCAAACATTTAAAATGTGTTTCTACAGGACGCTAGTTAGAGTTTTCCGATCGGAATCTCAAAATCCGATTTTTCGACTCGACTTGACGGAAAAAACTCTACTGAAAATGTTCGCCTATTCGTGAATCGTAGTATGGACAATCGTAAATTTCGATGGTATGTATCATCGCGCCTCCTTTTTTCCCTGACTTCTAAAAGTTGGCGAGGTAATGATACTGCCGTCCTGATGGGGAAAAGTGCAGCGTAAAAATTTGGATGTCGTCAAATTTTCTCAGATAAACACCGAAAAAAAAAAGGAGTTACTTTAACATTCTGCTTGTAAAAAAAGTGCGTACGAGAACTTA